AGCAAAACCAGCAGCATCAGCAGCAACACCCAAATCAGCAGCAGCAGCACCCGCAGCAGCTAAGGCAGAAGCAGCTAAACCAGCAGCACCAGCAGCAGCAAAACCAGCAGCAGCAACTGCAGCATCGCCAAAACCAGCAGAAGCAGCAGCAGCAAAACCAGCGGCAGCAGCAGCAGCAGCAAAACAACCAGCAGCAGCAGTGGCAGCAAAGCCTGCAGCGGCAGCAGCACCGGACGCAGCCAAGTCGGCAGCAGCAACAGCAGCAGCAGCAAAACCAACAGGAGCACCAGCTGCAGCCTCTCAACCAGCAGCAGCAGCAGCAGCAAAACCAGCAGCAGCAGCAACGCCGGCAGCAGCAAAGCCGGCAGCAGCAGCAGCAGCACCAGCAGCAGGAAAGCCTGCTGCAGCACAAAAGGCAGCAGTAACGAGCCCAGCAACAGCAGAGGCAAAATCAGGAGCAGCAGCAGCAGCAGCAAAGCCAGCAGCAGCAGCAAAGCCTGCAGCAGCAGCAGCACCTCCAGTTAAGCCGACGCCTGGGGTCAAGGAAGCAGCAGCAGCAACAGCAAAACCAGCAGCAGCAGCACCAGCAGCAGCAAAGCCAGCAGCAGCAGCAGCACCAGCATCGAAGCCAGCAGGAGCAGCAGCAACAAATGCGGCAGCAACTAAAGCAGCAGCAACACCAGCAGCGGCGGAGAAGCCTGCAGCAGCAGCAGCAGCAGGAAAAGCAGCAGCAGCAGCGCCACAACCAGTGGGAGCAGCAGCAGCACCCAAAGCAGCGGCAGCAGCAGCAAAACCGCTAGCACCAGCAGCAGCAGCAAAATCAGCAGCAGCAGCAAAACCAGCCGCAGCAGATAGCATCAAGATTCCTGCTGATGCTGCTGCTGCTTTCAGGCCAAAGGGCCCCGCTGCAGCTGCTGCAGCAGCAAAACCCGCAACAGCAGCAGCAGCAGCAAAACCAGCAGCAACTGCAGCAGCAAAGCCAGCAATAGCAACTCCAGCAGCGAAACCAGCAACAGCAACTGCAGCAGCAAAGCCAGCAGCAACAACTGCAGCAGCAACGCCGGCAAAGGCAACAGGAGCAACAGCAGCAAAACCAGCAGCAGCAGCAGCAGCAGCAAAACCAGTGGCAGCAGCACCAACGAAACCAGCAGCATTGATAAAGCCTGCAACAACAACAGCAGCAACAAAGCCGGCAGCAGCAGCAGCAGCGAAACCAGCAGCAGCAGCAGCAAAACCGTCAGCAGCAGCAGCAGCGAAACCTGCAGCAGCAGCAGCAGCAAACCCACAGGCAGCACCAACAGCAGCAGCAAAAGAAGAACCAGGAGCTTCTCCTCAAACAGCAGCAGCAGCAGCAGCAACAGCAGCAGCAGCAACAGCAGCAGCAGCAACAGCAGCAGCAGCAACAGCAGCAGAAGATGGCCGCAGCTACAGGCTAATTCACTTGCTGAGGTCTCGGCCGCCGCTGCTGCTGCTGCTGCACAGCGTAGAGGAGCAGCTAAAAGCAGCAGCAGCAGCAGGAGCAGCAGCAGTAGCAGCAGCAGCAGCAGACACAGCAGCACACAGACGCATGACCCCACAACTGGGAGACAAACTAGTAGACACAGCAGCAGCAGCAGCAGCAGCAGCAGCAGCAGAAGCAGAAGCAGAAGCAGCAGCAGCAGCAAATGAAGGAGTCCAAACAATTAACTGCAGCAGCAGCCCCGTGCTGCAGCTGCTGGACTATTGCAGAAGACACGCAGGCAAGAAGGCAAATAAATAAATAAATAAAATAAATAAATGAATAAAAATAAATAAATAAATAAATAAATAAATAAATAAATAAATAAATAATTGAATTATTTATTTATTTATTCAGATGTTTATTCAATTTGGAATTGGGAAAAAGAGCTGCAGCGCTACGAAGGCGGAAAGCGAAAAGCAAAAGGGACAAAACAATTTGCTGCAGCAGCAGCAGCAGCAGCAGCAGCAGCAGCAGACCACTGGAGACACAAAAAGGAGAAAAAGCAATTTGCTGCTGCAGCAGCAGACCACTGGAGACAAAAAGAGGAGACAAATAGATTTGCTGCTGCAGCAGGGGCGAAGCACAAGCGAACGAAGGAGGCCGCTGCGTTTGCTGCTGCTGCTGCTGCTGCTGCACCTCCTGCTGCTGCTGCTGCAGCAGCAAATCAGTGGAACACGCCGGAAGACATGGACTTTGCTGCTGTTGCTGCTCTTGTCTCTTCTTTGAGAAAAAAGCTGCTGCTTCTTTGCAAAGAAACAAACCGAGAAGTTAAGTTTAAACTTGAGCAAGTTAAAGTGCTGCAGCAGCAGCAGCAGCAGCAGCAGCAGCAGCAAATGCACGGGCTGCCGCTGCAGCTGCAGCAGCAGCAGCACGAATCCCCCGAACTCGTGAGCGAGCTGCCAACAAACGAAAAAAGCAAAAAGAAAATTAAATTAAAATAAAAAATAAAAAATAAAAAATAAAAAATAAAAAATAAAAAATAAAAAGCAAAGAAGGAAAAAAGAGAAATAAAGCAGCAACTTTTAATCTCCTTTTAATTTTTTAAAATATCTTTTTTTCTTTTTTATTTCTTTTTATTTCTTTCTTCAATTCTTTTTTGCTTCACTTTCATTCTTTTTATTTCTTTTTAATTTTTTAAAATTCTTTTTATTTTTATTATTTTTTTTCTTTTCTGTTTTCTCCTTTTTGTCTTCTCTTTTTTCTTTTTTCTTTTGAAGACATCCCAAATAAACAAATAACAAACAAATAAATAAACAAACAAATCAGTTAATTTAAATTAATTAATTGCATTACGCATTTATTTATTTATTTATTTATTTATTTATTTATTTATTTATTTATTTATTTATTTATTTATTTATTTGTGTTTTCAGGAGTTGAACGAAATGTACATAAAGTCTTTGGAGGCTTTGCTGCAGTCTCTGGACCTCGAAACCCTTTTAAGGCCTTCCCAAACCCTAAACCCTAATTCCATTTTGGCCAACTTCGTCTCCAAACACTTCGAAACGCAAACCCTAGACCAGCTAAACCCCCAGCAGCAGCAGCAGCAGCAGCAGCAGCAGCAGCAGCAGCCGCAGCAGCAGCAGCAGCAGAAGAAACCGCCGGGACCCTCTATGGGCGCAGCCCTTAAAGGGGCCCCTAAGGGGGCCCCCCAGGGGGGCCCCCTTGGGGGCCCCCAGGGGGCCCCCAAGGGGGGCCCCTTAGGAACCCCCAAAATGGGCTCCCTGGGGGCCCCCAAGGGGGCCCCCTTGGGGGCCCCTAAGGGGGGCCCCTCTCCCTCTTTGGGGGCCCCTAAGGAGGGCCCCTCTTTGGGGGCCCCTAAAGGGGGCCCCCTCTTGGGGGCCCCCAAAGGGGCAGCCTCGGGGCCTCTCCAAAAGCCAGCTTTGGGGGCCCCCAAGGGGGCCCCCTTGGGGCCCCCCTCGGGGGCCCCCAAGGGTGCTGCAGCAGGGGCCCCTAAAGGGGGCCCCCTACCGGGCCCCCCCAGCAGCAAGGGGCCCCCACTAGGGGCCCCCAAAGGAAGTCCCCCGTTGGGGGGCCCCTCGGGGGGCCCCTCAATAGGGGCCCCCAAGGGGAACTCTCCCTTAGGGGCCCCCAATTCGGGTCCTTCTTTAGGGGCCCCCAAGGTGGGGGCCCCCTTGGGGGCCCCTAAAGACGGGGCCCCCTTGGGGGCCCCTAAAGAGGGGGCCCCCCATGAAGAAGCCCCTATTGCCTATCAGTGTAGCCCCCAAAAAGGTACCCTTAGTGACCCCCAAGGGGGCCCCCCTGGGGGCCCCCTTGGGGGCCCCCAAGGGGGCCCCCAAGGGGCCCCTGCCGCTTTTGGCTAAGAAGCCGGGGCCCCCTTTGCCGCTACTGGCGTTGAAGAAGAAGGCAAACCCCACCCCGAAGACCTAAACCCTAAACCCTAAACCCTAAACCCTAAACCCTCAGTGGTGCAGGGTCTAGGGTTTGGGGGTCCCTGGGACAGCTAAGAGCTCAATTTAAAGGCCCCTTGGGGGCCCTGTGGCCTTTTCATTTTGATTTAGATCACAAACCCTAAACCCTAAACCCTAAACCCTAAACCCTAGTTGGTAGGGCTGAGCAGTGGGCACCTGGGAAGCCGAAAACCGTAGGCGTCCGCAGCTGACTAGGGTTTAGGGTTTAGGGTTTGGGGGCTAGGGTTTGGGGGTTAGGGTTTAGGGCTACGGGCTTCAGACATACTAAGGGTTTAGGGTTTAGGGTTTAGGGTTTAGGGTGTAACAGCAGAGGCAGCTGTGTTTAACCGAGAGACGCAGAAAACACCAGGGGTTTAGAGCCTAGGGTTTACTGCATAGAGGGTTTAGGGTTTAGGGTTTAGCGTTTAGGGTTTAGGGTTTAGGGTTTAGTGTTTAGAGTTTAGGATCTAGAGTTTAGATGGTCCAGGTTAATTGGTGCTCTGCAGTCACATCATGCACCTTAACTTTTGAGGGTTTAGGGTTTAGGGTTTAGCGTTTAGGGTTTAGGTTTAGCCTTTAGGGTTTAGGGTTTAGGGTTTAGGGTTTGAGCATCCGTTCTGTTTGGATGGTTTCAGGGACTTGCGCGTCTCAACTAACAATTAAATTATTTGATAAAATAAAAAATTAAAAAATAAATTAAAAATAAATAAAAGAGTCATACACTTGAAGGAAGCTAGGGTTTAGGGTTTAGGGTTTAGGGTTTACGGATTTGGGGCTGGGGAGGGCCCCCCAGCATGGAGTTAGGGTTTAGGGTTTAGGGTTTAGGGCTTTGGGGCTGATGGATCCGCAGGGCCCCCTCTGCATGCAGCTAGGGTTTAGGGTTTAGGGTTTAGGGTTTAGGGTTTAGGGTTCGTGCTTCTTCAGTCGAGAAGCTAGTGACGCGGCTGCCAGCCCTAACCCGGCCCCCAGCTCCCAAACCCCAAGCCCGAAACCCTAAACCCTAAACCCTAAACCCTAAACCCTTAATCAGGGTTTTGCCTTAGATCGCGTTCTTTCCCCTTCTCTCCTCCCGCAGCGAGCCGCTGCGA